AGCTTTGCAGCCGTGGATAAGCATTCTTTAACAAAGTCCCCTGTAGAAAATGAACGTCCACTCCTGGCAATTAGAGCTGAAATCTCATAGCTGGCCTGTGTTGCGCTTTCCTGGGCTGACGAGGGTCGTGTGAGCGTGTTTTGTTGTGAGCGAAGTTTAGCTAACAACTCTCGGCTCTTTGTCTTCTGTGCCTCGCCTTTGAACCTTGAGAATGCTGCATACCTCGTTTCATAGTGCCGGCGGATATTGTCCTCTTTTAGCACAGCGACAGGCTGACCGCAAATTAAGCAGACCGCCTTAGAATTAATATCCGTAAAAAATATTCTTCCTCCCAGGTTCATTTAAAATGCCTTTTGTCTGTGTGCCACTGTCTACTGCTCTCCATGTTGCTTGCTACTGCTCCGTTCTTCGTGTTGTTGTTGTCGTTGTTGTTCTTCTTCTCCTTGTTTTATTGGCGGGTCGCGAGCTGAGCTGGGAGCTGCTTGACCTGACAACTGGGGTGACATAATAAATTGTGGGGGGCCAAGAAATGTCCCCACGGGCCAAAACAAATGTTCCACGGGCCAAGTTTGGCCCGCGGGCCCCACTTTGGGCACCCCTGATATAGACCAAATATTGTCTGGAGACAAAGCAATGGCTCCATAAGGCGTATTCTGAAGCACCAGATAAGAACAGAAAACTGTAAGGTTGGAGTCGGGTAAAGGAAACATGACGGGTTAGAGTGAAGGTTAGTTTCAGAATAAACTATGGGGAAACAGACTTCATCTCACCAGAATCACCCGAGCCTTGACATCTAAAGGTAACATCTGACATAACAGACTTGTTTAAGATGAACTGTGCCTTGCCTAGAGAGCAGGCAGCAGCGACAAAAAGGTGCAATCAATACAGACAGTTCTCAACAGCCTTAAGTTTAAAACCCCCGCATCCTGTTAATTCCAGTCCTGTGTACAGTTAGACCACAGCTGTGCACTGCCCCTTAGTGGCTGGAAACAGTACCTGAACAATTAAGGTTAAACAAAACTCGAGTTAGAAAAAAAAAAAAAAATTATTTACACATCACCTTTACTGCCAATTTAGAAATCATTTAAGTCACAGCAAAGAATCAAATTAAGTGAGGGCAACACAAAAATATTTCTTATTTACAACGGGTCTCAACACTTCTAAGGCCCCCAAGAGCCTTATTGTCTTTGGGTTTTAATAGCAGTAGAAAAGCCAGCAAGACAACTTCAGTCTGAACTTTCTGTTAATATCCTGGTGAAGTAGAGAACCGCAGGCTGAGCAGTGACATTCTGGATGCTGTAGGCATGTCCTGTGCACAGAACAGAAACCTCAGTTAAAAAAAAAAACAAAAAAAAAAAAAACAACCTATACATAATAACAAGACATTATTACTTCTCATATGTATACATCTAAAGCTGTAAAATTTTTGCTAAAGGTTTTTTGGATATGTGATCAAGTCTGTTTTACAGGTTTTATAGGTTCCCATATTCCTTTAGGAATAGAAACAATTCAATCAATTAAAACTGCATTAACTAACTTCTCCCTCTAATTTTCAACCATTAAGGGCGAAGTGAGAATCACATCACTTGTTAACCAGTGTTAACCCTAAAAGGAGCCAAACTGGTTTGAAACATGCATCTTATAACCTGGGATCAGCAGAGGTGTGGAAGAAGTGAAGTGCAGATTTTAACAACATTGGCCACAGAGGGCAAGAAATAAACACAGATTTTTTTTACTTGCTTTATCCAAATTTGTGCTAAATCTTAGTTAATGCAGCTTTAAAATCTTTTACTGCATTAATATATGTGATCATATTATCTTCTTACCACATTTGACCATAAAGGAATGTCCTGCGTTGAAGCAGGACTTGGTGCCGTCGATGATTACATTCACAGAGCTTGTTTTGTGCTTAAAAACCTTTAAAAAAAACAAACAAAAAAAAACACACAACACAAAAAAAATTTTATGTAGGAACATGTGAACACAAACATGTATAAGAGGACAGACTAACTGAACATAAAGCTGTAAAACAGAAGAGAATCAGTAACACTCACTGTTAAAGCGCTGTGATCCACAAAGAGGGGCTTCTTTGCGTAGGAGCCCAGAAAAATCCTTCCACTGCAGACGAAGCCAGAGTTCAGGTCTACCAGGAGGCCAATGGCTTTCTCTCGATAAATGTACCAGTCAAACTGGTTTGGACTGATCTCTGCAGCACCTCCAACAATATTACACAGCTAACATATTGTATCACTGACCAAAAATTGCTTATCTCTTACACAGTTGCATAAGAAATATTTGAGGATAATGAAGCGTTTGGACCAAAACCATTTTGTCTAAATTTCAAAATATCACAGGAAAATTCTACTTTTTATTCATCTATAAAATCTGCTGTGAATATATGTATAAATTATTCAAAACATTGTTTTCTTACTGTGGACAGGAGTAGACCAGAGGTTCTTGAACCACTGTCTCAGGCTGGCCTCATCCTCTGGGTGTAAGATCAGAGGTTTGAGAGGAGGCGCGCACAGATCTGATGCACAAAGCACATCATAGGTTCTGGAAGATGCCAAAACTGGAATAACATAAAAATAAAATGAGAAATTAACCATTTCAAAAAGAGAGCTTTGTAGATCGGTCAAAACATTTCTTAATTCCTGAAGACTTATCTTTCAAAATAAGAGAAAAGTCCATGTTGAATCTTTGAGCTGAACAAATATAACCAACCGCATTTATATTCTTGTTTAATAAAACATCAGTAGTATTTCATTTATTGTAACTTCTCTAATTTTGTTAACAATGAGATCAAAGGAAATATGTGTAATGATCTACCATCATAAACTTTACCAAATGGGTATTTTTAGGGGATAAATAATAAAAATGATACATGGATGTATGTGTTACTTGAATTATTAATGCTTACACTTTTTATATAATCAGATTTATGTAAAGGGAAAACACCAAAATGAAAACAGAAACAACCAAAATACACACCTGAATGTAATTAATTATGCGCATCTAAAAAGTCTAAAACAGTAAATCTATTTAATTGTTTTTTTTTTTTGTTTTTTTTTTTAAACCTACCCAAGTCATCACACTCCTCATACTCTTCCAGCTCAATCATGGACGACGGTCCACTTATGAGGTCTTTTAAACTGCCAAGGCAGAAATGAACAACAATTAATAATAAAAATGTAACACATCCAGACAGTAAGAAATGTTTTGAATATCAACATTTAGACTTCTCCTTACGTGTTCTCTGACTGACAATTGATGTCCTGGGGGGTCTTTTGGTTTGAAAGGACAAAAGTGACTTCCTCCGCAGGACGTGTAATAACATGACACCTGCTATTCTGGCGTGCGTCTCTGCTGCCGACCACAGTCATGGCCTCTGTGGATGAGGTAAAAATGTCTTTAAAGGTGGCCGGTGAGCTTTTGACAGTCTTAGGGGCTGACAGTTGGAGAGTAGGCAACACAGGAGCTCCCCTCAGAGGTTGTGATGAAACTGCCGTGTTGCCTTTTTTGGGAGTTCCAAGTGCAGAACTGCTCTTTATAATGTGCTTTTCTCTTTTCTTAGGTTTGGGCTCCTTAGGACGAAGCTGCTGAGGTTGTGGGGAGATGCAATTCCTGTCCTGAGACACATCACAAGCCACCCACCAGTTACCAGGAGGCTTCCTCCTCCGTTTCTCTGATTCTGTTGTCTTGAGCTGCCCCTGAGGTCTTCTAACAGAGATAGGCACTTGTGTTTTGGACAGTTTTTCATTAGCGACAGGGTGGTAGACTCTTGGAAACACCCGATTCCCTGTAAAATATCACACATGAAGCATCTTCATAAGTTACAAACCTTACTGACAATGTTTTCAGGTACTCATGATTTACTTGAGTACTTCCATCTCATTTATTCCATTACATTTCAAGGGAAAAATACTTTTTATTGCACTACAGTTAGAACTACTTACTTTCCAGAAAAAAAAATACACTAACACTTTCACCAAAGAGGAATTTCTTCTTTCCCCTCACATGTGGTGTCCTTTAAAGAAATGTTTAAGGCCCAAAGAGGTTAAATTGTCCAACATTACACAAAAAAAGCAAAGATTTTGAAATACAGATGTCTGTTTTAACCCTCCTTCCTGATTAAACATCTCACAGCCCCTCAGATTTATTTTGTGACCTCTGAAGGGAATCACAGGACTAATACATGAATTCATAAGGCTGTTAAACTTCACCTCAAACAGCTATAACAGTAAAATATTACTACAACCTGAAACTGTCACACACAATATTGGTTTACTTTTTCTTAAGTAGATTTTTAAATGCAGGCCCTTTATTTGTAATGGAGCATATTTAAGTTGTGGCTGCTTATGGACTTAAGAAAAGAGTAGGACATTTCCTCTAGAGCATGGATCGGGCCACATACTTCGGTACAAACCCGACCTGTGCCCAAGAGTGTGGCTTCCGAACCCAACCTGGACTCAACAAGTTTACAGTATATAATGTCCGAACCCGACCCCAACACAGCTGAGTTTGTACGATATTTTTACCTTATCATTAAACAAAGCAGACATGAGTGCTCCAGCCATCTAGCCGAAAGTTTGACCTACCCGGACCGGAACATAATTCAGGCCCAAACCCTCAAGTACCAACGGGTTCCGACAGGCTGGGTTCAGGGATCCACACTCTAACTTTCTCCACCCCAACCTCACCTGAGTTAAAGCTCATCTGTACCCAATCCGGGTCCTGATCTGGGACTTCCTGATCTTGATCATCAAGCTGCTTTTCCTTGGTCATGTGAAATACTTCTGTTTCTTTCATGTTGTCTGGTCTTTCTCCTCCTGTAATTATGTTTTTCTTCAGTTTGGTTCGCCATTTCTTAGCTGTATCTGTGCTCTGACTTGATGACACAGTCTGTTTCTGATTTCTTCCCACTAAAGCCTGATCCTTCGTAGCCTTTCCTGCTGCGCTGTGGTTTTTGTTGTTCCATTTTGACTTCTTGAATGTGAAATAGTTGTCTGTATCCTTTGTTTCCTCTGGAGTCTGAGGGCTGTTCAACCACCTCTGTCCAAGCGGTTTTCTTTTCCTTTTACCAAGAACGTGGCCATCTTCAGACAGACTCCCTTCAGATACAGCAGAAAGTTTGTTCTGTTTTCCCTCTGCTAAATGCAAATATTTTCACATATTAGTTTTAATACATTCTTTAAAGTACATTTTTATATTTGTCATATACCAATTCATTTACAAACTAAATGTCTGTAGGGCTCATCTTTTATTTTCCAGTTTTAAAAATAGCTGTTCTGAATCGTATGTGTACACTTGGAAGCATATACATTCAGAAGCATTTACATTAAATAATCTATGATAAAAAGTAGCAGAACGACTTGGTGTCAACACAGGAAGAGATTTTAAGGCCAAGAGGAGGACCTCACCTGAAAGAGAATCCAAGCCTTCAGCATCTGCCTGCTCCTTACTGCTCTGCTCCTCATTTCGTTCTTTCATAGTGTCAACACACACCATCTCCTTTATGTCTTCAGATCCCTGCATTACCTTTCTGGTCTTCTCTAACAACTTAGCTCTGCTTGTCTTAACATTTTCTTTTAAGTCTCTTGAAGACTTTGAGCTCTTCACCTGAGAGGACTTTCGAGTTTTCTTTTCCATTTTCTTAGGTTTGTTTCTTCCATCTCTGTCTTTAGGTTCCTCCTCTGCCTTATCACTCTCTTCAAATGGGACCTTCTTTAGTTGCTGTTTCTCTTGTCCCACAAAGTCACTTGCAGGAACATCCTCAGGAATAGACAGGTCAACCATATTATTTCCTGGTTCAGTCACTTCAGTCCCCTTTCCCTTTCTTGTCCTCCTATCTTTCCCATCATTATGTTTTGTTTTCTGACCAACAGGATGAACGTCCAGTGTGGTGTTTGTCTTTTCTGGTTTCTCTTCTTTTTCTGCATTCTCTAGTGGACTATTTTTTAAACCGTCTTTGTTTGTGCTGCTCTGCTCTGCCTTAGACTCGTTCTTCTTCTGGGTCTTTATGATCAAAGTTTTATGTGGGATGGAAATTTTATGTGGACTGGAAAAACAAAATCCATCATCCTCAATAATCAGGAACTCATCCTCTGGCTCAGGAGGCGTGGATGCTTTTACTGGTGATGACATTCTCCTGGAACTTAACAAAATAAAATAAAATAAAAAACTGAATAGTTTATATTTCTCAGTAGGATGACACCACAGTGACACATTTTTAAGGTGCACTCATCTCAACTCACCATGCAGGCTTAGATAGTGCAGCTTCTCTGACCTTCTGTAGGAAAGCTTCTATGTGTTTTCCCACGCCAGTGGGAACTGCTGATGGCTGTCTCGAAACCCTTCCTAAGTTGTTATCAGAAGTTTGGAGTTTAGGCCCCGGCCTCCCTGCTGGAACAAGTAGGTCTACGTTTTCTTTCCTGTTATTGATTGGAAAGAAGAAAAAAAAACCCAGAATTGATTTCATTAAGTTCTTCACTTAAATTGCAAATTGTACAGTATATTGCACTGTTGTATTGAAGAACTAGTGTCTTCCTGCATTACATTTTTATTATCAAGTCTTTTGCAAAACTCATTATATAAGCGGAAACCGAGAAATGGAACCGACAGAGCCTGGCAAATTATCAGCACACTAATATTGTCTTTTTTTCTTTTTTTCTCTCTCTCTCTCTCTCTCTCACACACACACACACACACACACACACACACACACACACACACTCTCTCTTTCACTATATATGCCAATAGACACACACTCTGGGGATCATTTTCTAGTTATTCCTAACTGTTGTTCTTATTATTATAGTAATATTTACTATTGTAGTTATTCAGAATAATGTAATAGTTCTACCACTGTAAAATAGTCTTGCCACAGAACGTGTCTTTGTAACTACTCTTAAATGACCAAAGGTTATTGGCTAGTACACTGTAGGTAAATAGTAAATCCCAGTCCCAGGTTATAAATTGTCAAATTTTAAAACAGTTACTGGCTTCAAATATCCATTGTCACTAGATCCAAAGTTTATGTGAAAAATAATTATAGCTATACATTAAGAAGCCATTACTTTTTACATCTGAATTTTTCTTTTTTCTATAGTATTTCTTGTTTTTGTCCTTTAACAAAATGACTCAGAAGTAAAAAGATAAATATACATTTGTATAATGATTAAGCATAAGCTATTGCTAAGCCACTGTGTACAACATTTATATTAATCAATTTCTAAATTAAAGGAATTAATACATTTCTTGCTTCTCTGTGATGTGTTCTTTGCGCTGGGGCATCTGTATGTTTACAGGCTGTGTCTCTGCTGCTTCTTTTTCTTCATCCTCAAAGAAGAAAACTGAGGGCACAACTAGGGCTCTTTCTTCTTCCTCCTCTTCTCTTTCTTTCACAACATTATTCTCATCAATAGGACTGGATGTCTTAACTGGCTCATGAAGTGGGATGTCCAAATCTGCAACAAGAAAAATAATAAAAACTTTAACCAATCATTTCTACACTAGAAGCGTGTAAATGTATGAAGAAAAGTATGTGTACATATCGAAAGATCGATAATTTTCTCAGTAAAGTGGAAGGCTGAGTCTCTTACCATTTCCTAGTTCAGGAATGGCATCTCCTTCAGGACCCTAAAAGGTTACATCAAAGGTTCAAAGTGTTGGTCATATGCACAGTAAGGAAACGTGTTTCCCTGTACAATGAAATTCTTACTTTGCCATCCCCACTGAATGCCAAACAACACAAGTGAAATGTAAGGTAGGTAAATAGTAGCACAAAAATGTAAAGGCACTTTAAACAGCAAATGAAAAGAAATATAATAAAAAAAATAACAAGAACACAATAAGAGATAATGTATGCTACATCGGAGCTGAGTGTGCCAATAGTCAACAGTGTGGCTTCACACATGTATAGGCATCAAATCATGTCCAAATTACAAATGCACAAGAGCTGCTGAGTTTCAAAACATGCAAGACATCTATTTTACAAAGTGAGGTGCAACATTCAGGCACAATGAGGCAATGGAAAAAGAAAGGGAAACATCAGGGACTGTCTGCCCCATTTAAAGAGACCAGCCAGGGCCAAACACATGCCACTGCATGGCGATTTTGTAATATCAGCAGTAGTCACTCTACTGACCCACTGCATTACCATTTGGTATCTTCCAAATGATGATGTTTTCTCACTCTGGTCTGTGTCAAACATCTGAAGCCGAGGAGATGGATCAAGTATGTCTTTATCATGTGCGGATGAATCTGAAAATAACAGTAAAGTGCAAGTCAGCATAACAAAATGTAAAACTGCAAAATATTAAAGCACAAGAATCACATAATCAACTCACCAAAGTCAAACATCCTATCAACATCTTCCAATGTCTGTATTCCTGCACACTGCTTAGATGAACTGAAAACACAAAACAAAATGAACAAAATGCCATTTTGTTTCCTTTTGGAGACCATATAAATGTTGTTGACATGCATTCAATCTGCATTAAACATGAAATATTTAAACCTTTCACACAACCTACATTGGACAAATCCATGAAAACATGATGTTTTGTGTTTAGGATTATTACAATGACAACCTAGGACTTTACCAAGTGTGAGAACAACACACTGAAGTTCATCTAATGTTAGGCATTAAAGTATTATCAAATACTATTTGAAACTGTATAAAGTACAGTTAGAAATTATTATCCATTAAGGTGGATAACTTGCAAATCCCGCGTTTCGGTCCCTAACATTAGTTTCATGCTTTACAAAATGCTCACTTACAGAAGATTAGCAATTAGCAAGAACATATAAACACTGCAACTATTATACATTCCAAGTTATTTCCTGGCAACATTTTATCAGCATGTTCAGACATACCATGTATTATCTGTAAGGTAGCAGAGCTTCCTCTTTGGCCTCCGCTGTGAACCAAAAGCAAATACATATTTAGGTCTGGCGCTTACTGTAATTTCATTACTTTATAAACTGGAGGCTAGTGTATGAGTTAACAACATTACTTCAATGCTACACCGAGTTCTGTTTAGTAGGCATAAGTTAATTCCAAACGAAACATTGGTTGTGTACTTTATCTCTTGGGTGGACAACATTCACCAGAAATTCGCACCACAACATAATCACAGACTACAAAGGCAAACTCAACACCTCTCTAAAACATTTCAACAAAACACCTTCATGAAGGTAGAATTTCATTAATGCTGAGCTGTCGAATTACACCGCAGTAAGTTAGCATTAGCTTAGCTGGGGTTGCTTACAAAGCTAACGCTACCGAGTGTACTGTTGAAGCCCCCCTTTGTTGTGGCTGACGTTTAATATTGTTCAGCCCTCCTTCCTCGAGCACAGCATAAAATCGACCTCATATACAAAAGAAGACTTTAGCTTACCAAGGCAGGGTACTCTATATCCATTTGTGTTTGTTATGCCTGTTTTGTCGTTAACGTTACTCGGTTGTTTCCAAGAGCGAAACCCAAACAAACAATTATCCTAGTTTTTAATAACTGCTCATTCGTAATGTTCCGCTCAATGCAGACTAATTGGCCTTTAAACACAAGTATCACCACAAGACGTTTCGATTCCTCGCTTCATTATTCAAAAAATTACTCGACCATAACAAATGTAAAGCATTAAAGATGGAATTAATAAAAGAATGGCGGTGTTTATAAATGTCCCGCCAGACTTCAAGTCCGGGGCCTCATGTCTGCGAGCCAATGGCAAAAGGAATCGACGTTACTTCTTCCTCCTTTTCTTTTGTTTAATGGCGGTTGGCAAACAACTTTAGGTGCATTAGCCCCACCTGCTGGGATGGAGTATGGATCAAAAAGTCTCCTCAGAATCAGAATCTGCTTTGTTGGCCAGGTGTGTCTGACGCACGAGGAATTTGACTCTGGTACATCGGCTCTCACTGTGTATGTACATATCCCCATGCAAGGGGCAAGTAAACAGTATTTTGTAATACAACAAAATAAGCAGTACTTAAAACTAGAGACCTGTAAGAATATGTATACAAGGTATATTTACAGGTATTGCACTGAGGGTTACTGTCCAGTCATACTGTCGTTGGTTAAGTGTTCATCAGAGTGACAGCCTGGGGAAAGAAAGTGTCCCTGTGCCTGGTTGTCTTGTTGTCTTGTTGTCTCCTGTCTGCTAGTACTATGTTAAATCCATGTTAAATCATATTTCCTTTCCTGACACATAAGTATGAAGGTCACTATTTTTATGCTCTTTTATGGTAATTTTTTATAAACCTTTGTGAAGCTCAAATATCAGATATCAAGTTTCACAACTATGTGTACTGTTCCACTTTCTGCTACAGAATGCTGAGATTGATTACAGACAAAAAGGACATCCCTTTCTGTGCCCTTCTCCATGTGAGCTGTGTAAAGACCAAGGCGGGCTGTCCAGAGGACTGTGGACTGACTACTTTATAGAATTACTCTCTGTGTAAGGGGAACATTTATGACCCCTTGATGCATCACATGCACCTCTTATCTGCTATACATTTTTGCTACTGTGCAGACGATCATAAATGACAAAAAACACGTTCTACCAAATTTCCATAATAATTAACAGGCTTTCATATCTTTGGTAAACACTATGTGGCAAGGTGTCCAAAAATGTTTTTTTTTTCTTAACCATAATTGAGAAAAGTTATAAAAACAGTTATACAGTAATTATATGCAGTACTATAACTCAAGACAAGTTTTATTTCAAATTCAAGTGCAGCTCAACACCTCAGTATCTTGTAACATAGAAAACGACCCATTAAACTTTACAAGCAGTGTTAACCAAATCTTTACAAAACACTTGCCTCAAAAATGAAACGTCTCCCCGCAAAATGCATTTCTGCACACCTTGAGAACCCGAAACAGTCTTTGTGGACAGGAACACTTGACCAAATAGTTTTTGATAACTATGTACAGTCTTTTCAGTGTCCGTGATCTGCTACCAGGACTTGGAAAGCGTCTTCTCCTCCACCTGCTTCTTCGCCTGCCGGCAGTAGCGGAGTGTGTGAGCGTAGTCCCCGGTGGCTTTACAGATGGGGCAGGTGTATTTCCGGAGGATGGGGCAGATGACTTTGCCGTCGTCCGATTTCAGCCTGTGTGACAGGTACACCCTTTGAGACTCCCCGTTCTGCTTGCACAAGCGGCAGTATTCTGAAGAAGTCCCGTGGCTGCTGGTGTCCGACAGGCTGCTGGCGTCCGACAGGCTGCTGGCTGACCTGCTCTCTGAGATTTTGTGCTTGTCCCGGCGGGATGAGGCTTGGATGGGGCTCCGGCTCCTCTGTGCTTTTGATTCTTTCTTTGACCCCGCAGCATCTCGAAGGTCCAGCTCTGGCCTGCGGCGCAGCCCCTCCAGCAGTTTGCTCAGGTTCATGTAGTCACGCCACATGTCGAAGCTGTCCTCCTCCGGGGGGTTCTGGAGCTGTCTTTGCATTGTTGTGACTTCAGGATAAAAAATGCGCAGTTTGTGCTGAAGCATCTCATATTTAAAGGCGCCTGAAAAAGGTTTAAACTGCAACAATGTCTGGATCAGACTGATGGCAGGTGTCTGGATATTTAAAGGCGCCTGAAAATGGTTTGAACTGCAACAATGTCTGGATCAGACTGATGGCAGGTGTCTGGAGATAAAGCAGCGGTGCAGTTTGGAAAGCTTCCTTTCATCTCAGAATAACATATAGACTCCTTGTTTTTGAGCATTTATATCAAACCTTCCATCCATCCATTATCCAGACCGCTTAGTCCCGAACGGGGTCGCGGGGGGCTGGAGCCAATCCCAGCCGAGATCAGGCGAGAGACGGGGTTCACCTGGACAGGACGCCAGTCTATCACAGGGCTGACACGCAGACAAGCAACCACACACACACTCACTCACTCACACCTACGGGCAATTTAGAGACACCAATCAACCTAAGGTGCGTGTCTTTGGACTGTGGGAGGAAGCCGAAGTACCCAGAGAGAACCCAAGCAAGCACGGGGAGAACATGCCTGATCAAACCTCTACAAGAAATGTTATGAAAATAAACCCAGTAACTGTTACAGATTTTATTGCATCAGTTATTTGATCAAATTAAGACAGAGGACCTGATCTTATAAGGTTGACAGCAAAAACAGCAAACTATTCTATTGCAGTTAGTTATTTTGAATGTGAATTAAATAGGCCTACTAGTTTGTAGATAGATCAAGAAATAGAGGATATTCATACCAGCTCTCAAAACCCTCAAAATAGCCCTTAAATTGTGACTGACAAGTTAAATAAAGAAAAAATGATAAGGAGCAGGGCTGTGACTCTGGTAGCCTGGCTGTAATGTTTTCTGCAGACAGTGTACCTGCTTTAAGTGCTGAATGGTTAGACAGAGGGTCAGCCATATAAGCTAGTCACCTTTCCCCCAACCCCACCGCAATCATCATCATGGCATCCAGACATAGGCCTATAACTTAAATTATGCAGAAATAAAACAGATTTTGGAAAAAATAAAGGTTTAATGCCACAGAAATAAAAATTTACAAACTGTGTATCTGTGTATTAGTTTTAAAGTATTCCCGTTTCAATGTAAATCATTTGCATAACATTTACCTAACAAAACACAATTAAATGTGCCAAAGAATGGTTAAACATTCCTTTGGAAGCTCAGCATTCAGGTTAAATGAAGTTTAATCATTATTGAGAGTGCAAACAAGTCTATGGAGTCATCGGAGGGCACCCTCTCAATAACTGCTGTTTTATAGCAGCTTAAATTTATGTTCATGTTTTGCTTTGAGATTTTTTTTATTGCTCTTTCATTATCTTTTCAAACATTAGAGTATTTATTTGCTGTGAATAGTCTATGTTTGTAATATTTATTCTCAAGAATATATCCAGGAGAAAATGATATGATGGTGATGACAATGATGATGTTGTTGTTGTTGTTGTTGCATTATCCGGGGACGACTATGGTTCGGTGGGTAGAGTAGTTGTCTCCCAACCGGAGGTTCGAATCCCGGTGCCTACAGTCCACGTGTGCTTCCTCAGTTCTGTACCGAAAACTAATTCCTTGTGTGTAACATACTTGTCCAATAAAGGTGATTATCCTTATCCTATCTGCCTTATTTCTCTCCTGTTTTAATTTATATGTCAAGCACATTTAGTTTTCCCCTACAAAATAAAGAAATATTGTTTTATCATCTCCATGTTATTTGTTTGTTGTGAAAATATTTGTGTTTTCAAGGATATGGATGATGACGCATAAGAAAGGGAGTGGGATGTTATTATTAATACGGTTTTGCCCGTGTCATTGTTTTGTATAATGTGTGTGTGCGTGCGTTAGCGTATTTGTTGCCTGTAGCCTAACTGCACAGACGCGTCATACATGCCTAACAGCTGGCGCCGGGCCGTCTATTAGAACTTAAAGGCCGATGGATAGATACATTTAGGCCTCCTTGAAGTTTACATGACGTCTTTTTAGATGCGTAGCTCGTTTATGTAGCTGCGTGATGCGAGTACTTCCACTGCGGATGTGCCTTGAAATAAAGTCTGCACACGTGCGTGAAGTTGGCCCCCCACCCTACGCAAAATAAGGCCAAAATGGTGTCGTCCGTTTGTGCTTCGTTTGTGCTGGTTTGTGCTGCAAAAAGTTTCGTTTGTGCTGTTACGGTTTTTGAGATATTAAACAATACTTTTGGGGTCATCCACAGGTCACTCAGCCCCCCAGATAGCTCCAAATTGGACAAAAGTGGTGTCGTTCGTTTGTGCTTCGTTTGTGCTGGTTTGTGCTGCAAAAAGTTTCGTTTGTGCTGTTACGGTATTTGCGATATTACAGCTTTCATTTCTGATGACGTCACTCCGTCCCTCCACGTGCTCGGAATGGACCGGTCACGAGGACACTATGACGCCTCCGCCTCCAGGCATCGCGGAGTACAAACACTTGTAGATGTCTGGTTTCAACCTGTGATCTGGCTACAACCGATAGAAGTAAGTCTTTGATGACTTAGTAACCAATTTCCTCTAACACAAGCGACAACGGTATGTGCTGTTTCATACGGTAAACTTTTTCTTTTGTGCTACCCTTGTTTTAGGATTAATTTGATTATGTCACTCAGCAGCTCTACAAAACAAAGTGCTAAAGTCAGATAAGGTGGGTCATTAATTCATTGTCCATGCTATGATATAATATTTTGTAATGTCATTTTTATGAGCTGTAGTCAGCCGAAGTTGAAGCTACCATATCTTATGTGAGTGCATAAGGTGCAATTGTTGTTGAATCCACACTGGTGATTGCCTGTATTAAAAAAAAA